AGGCTGCGGTGGCCGGGAGCGGCCACTGCACTCCAGTCTGGGCGACGGAGTGAGACTCCGACTCAAAAAAAAAAAAACTTCGGGGTTCCAGTCAGGGACTCAAGACAGGTGCCTGGGTGGGGCTTAGAGGTTGCCCTGTAAAATCTAGGTCACCTTAGGGACAACGACTTACTACCATTCCCAGATCCGGCAACTCCACCCACCCGCAAAGCCTGCCCTGGGCCTGCTTTACCATGAGGCCTTCCCTGACCCCCAGGATCTTCCTCTTTGAGTTCCAAGAGCCTCTCCTTCGTACTCAGTGGTGTTCCTTGTCGTGGAATGAGACCCACCCTTCACGTGTGAGGCAGGACTGGGTCACAGAGAAAGCACGGGCCGGGGGGATGCAGACCTGGGTGTGCACTCCAGCCCAGCCACGCGTTAGCCACCACCGCCGAGCCGTCAGCCGGGACTTACCGTCGCCCTCCCTGGACTGCTTCCTTGGCCTCCATTTCCTTGCCATACACGGGCCCTGTCCTTCTGGCTTCACGGGGCTGCGGCGGGGATTAACTGGGCGGCCCTGTGGAAAGATTGTGGACTTTGAAACCAAACAAAATGAATTTGAATCCCAGTTCAGCCACTATGTGACCTGGAGAGAAATAAACCCGGGGAGCTCCTTAGCGTTGCTATTAGGAGAATGGGGGGGGGGTGCCTTATGAGGTTGTTATGCGTGGAAATCGACAAATCTAAAGCGTAAATAATAAATAGCTAGCCCCATGAATGCTGTAGGACCTGCCTGTTCCCGCCTCTGCCTGGGACAAACGTTAGTTTAATGCATTCACGGCCCGATTCATCTTCCCAACGGTAAAAGGTGAAATGACCCAGGCTTTGAGACACTTTTGCTCAAAAGTCACACACGGCCAGGCGCGGTGGCCCAGCCTGTAATTCCAGCACTTTGGGAGGCCGAGGCGGGAGTGTTGCTTAAGCCCAGGAGTTTGAGGCCAGCCTGGGCAACATAGCAAGACCCCATCTCTCTATATGTATATAAAAAGTCACACAGCTAAAAAGTGGCGGGGCCGGGATTCAATTCCAGATCTTTCTGGCTGTGAAACTGGTTCTGAATCCCACACTCAGTCTCCCACCCAAAGCCAGACCAAGCAGCTGCGCACAGTCGCTCCTTGGTATCCACGGGGGGTTGGTCCCAGGACCTCTGTGGAGACCAAAATTCAGGATGCTCAAGTCTGGTATACAATGGCTCAACATTTGCATATAAGCTACACACTTCTTCCTGTATACTTTATTTGTTTCTTTTAGCCGGAGTCTCATTCTGTCGCCCAGGCTGGAGTGCAGTGGTGTAATCACGGTTTACCACAGCCTCGACCTCCTGGGCTCAGACAATTCTCCCACCTCAGCCTCTTGAGTAGCTGGGACTACAGGTGTGTGCCACCAAGCCCAGCTAATTTTTTAGAGATGAGATCTTGCTATGTTGCCCAGGCTGGTCTTGGACTGCTGGGGTCAAGCTATCATTCCGCCTCAGCCACCCAAAGTGCTGGATTATAGGAGTGAGCCACCAAGCCCAGCTCCATCCATCCATCCATCCATCCATCCATCCATCTATCTGTCTGTCTGTCTAGAGTCAGAGCATGACCATCACAGCTCACTGCAGCCTCAACCCTGGGCTCAGGCGATCCTTTCACCTCAGCCTCCCGAGTAGCTGGGACTACAGGTGTGCACCACCACACCTGGCTAATTTTTAAATTTTTTGTAGAGTTGAGGTCTCATTAGGTTGCCCATGCTGATCTCAAACTCCTGGGCTCAAGCAATCCTCCTGCCTCGATCTCCCAAAGTGCTGGGATTACAGGCGTGAGCCACCACACCCGGCCAGCCTTGTGTAGGTTAAACCATTTCTAGATTACTCATAATACCGAATACAATGAGAATGGTCATCATGATGTGTATTTTTATTTGTGGTTTTTTAAAATTGTTTTATTTATGGATCCGTGGTTGGTTGACTCCACAGATGCGGAACCAACTTGTAGAAAAGGGGATCCATACTAAATAGATGGTCGGAAAATCTAGCTTATTGACCGTCCATGTGGTTCCTCTTTAAGGCCTCTGTTTTTTTTGAGTCGGAGTCTCACTCCGTCACCCAGGCTGGAGGGCAGTGGCACACTCATGGCCACCCTAGCGTCGACCTGCTGGGCTCCGGCGATCCTTCCACCTTAGCCTTCCAAGTAGCCTGAACTACAGGCCCGCGCCACCACACCCAGCTAATTTTTTGATTTGTTGTAGAGACGAGGTCTCGCCAAGTTGCCCAGGCTGGTCTCGAACCCCTGGACTCAGGCAGTCCTCTCCTCTCAGCCTCCCAAAGTGCTGGGATTACAGGCATGAGCCACTGTGCCCGTCCCCCTCAGAACTCTTATAAACTGATCCAAGAATCCAATTCAAAATAAATATCACACTGTGCCGTCTTTGTGAGACGCCCGTCTCTGTTTTTGTGTAGCGGTGACCTCCAGGGAAACCTAGCTCAGTGCCTCAGCCCACTCGAGGGAATATTTGCCTCTTACCTACAAACAGCTACAACAGGCTCTTTGAAAGATGGAAAACGTATTCCCTGAAGACCCGGGAAGGCCAAACACTGAATGCCTGCCCAAGGGTTTTGCGTGTTGCCAGGATACCGACAGCTGTCACGGGTCATAAAGTATCAAAGTTTGCGTTCAAGAAGCCCAAAGAAAAACAACCCAAGTTCTCTACACCTCTGTTGTCTTCACAATACTTCCACTGGGAGA